CTTTTAGGCAATGAAGCGGCCAGATTCGCTATGCATGTTTGTAAGAATGCGGTGGTTGGTAGGGTGTATAGGCAAATAGCGTTTGGAAGTACCGTAGTTACCTAGAGCGCGAGCGCGTGCATGCTTAGAAATCTGGTACCCATATTTAATTACTTAGTTAATATGATATTTGTTGGTTTCGCCTTAAACGCTTAGTCTAACAGGCTTGTTATTGGTCGAGTTGTGACGCCGGAAGTCATTCCAAGCCATTCGCTGTCGCATAAGTACGATCCGAATTCTCAGCCTACTAGGATAAAACAATAAATTCGTAATCCAAATGCAAACAGTTATACCTATTACGGTGAGTAGTAAGTTTTAGATGTAAATAACGTCGCATTTACAAACCTGCACTTAAATGCGCAAGCAGCATTACTAAACAAACTGCTCACAATTTACATTTCTTCATTGTAGAATGAAAATTTGCTAAAATCACTGTAACCGAACGCGTGTATTAACAATTTTGTTCAGCCTTGCTGGGTCTTCGTCGTACCAAGCGGTTTCATGCCCTACTTAGCAACGTTTAATGTCTACCGTCAGCGGTATCCGCCTGTGTCTTTCACGATGTCATAATTTTTGAGTTGGCTTTAGACAATAATTCTTCACCACAGAACTATATAAACCTAAACCCGGTTACCAGCTACCGCTGTCTCGATTCCATTAACGACGCGAAAATGAGGTATGCATGTTACCAGAAAAATGCCGGAGTACACCTGGAGTGTAAACCTCACCAGTGTATCCAACTTGGAATATATCAACAATCCAACTGTCTGAGTCATTCCTTGCATGGACGGAAACCGTGCTAGTATGCTTGTCCTAGACTGCAGAAATTTTGCGAAAGTTTGGTTTAAATCATTTGTTAAGAAAATATGTTTGGGATAGTAATTAGTAGATGAAGCGTTCACCCAAATATGAAGCTTGGTATGGCAATGGAGTTTTCTGTTTCAGAATATATTGCATCACCTGAGATGGCAGGACATAGTTCGTTCCTGAAGCATAATGTGCAAATGGGAACGGTAGATAAACAAAACGTCAACGAATAAAGAATGCTGCAGTAGGTTGCAATATATAAAATTTTGAGTCACAGTAGTAGGGAGGAAAATTCGTAACAGCTTAATAAATGTATAATGATGTTCACAACAGCACAACGTAAGAACTAAACTGCGGTAAGCAATTAAACGTTAACTATCAGTCACATTATGTATGAGAATATAAATGTTCAATTAACAATAAGTATAATATTCTGACTTCATGAATCAATGAGGCGCCAATGTAATTTATCAGATCTCTTTTAATAACAGTCCCTTAGTAAAGCTGTCCTAAAAATCGCATCTCTCAAGTTTACTTTCTGGTTTACTTCCCATCCGAGGATAAACTGATATGACAGCGTCAAATACTTTTATCAAAGGAACCTAGTAATAGCTCCATCTGTAGGATTGATGTATATAGACGGTGAAATAATTATTGGGTTTTCCTTGGTGACCCTCAACTGAGTTATCGGCTGAAATCCTGGATCCGTTAAATAAGCTCAATGAAGTAAACATCCATTTATCTACTGAATTGAGAAGATTAGAACAAACCGCGACATCGTGCAATATAAGTGGCAACTGGTTAACCTTTCCGGATAAAACCACCGCAAAGTTAATGAAGTGAATGCACGGTTAGACAACGTAAACCTAACCGGAGATTTATATATGTGCTGAGAAAGAAAGGAAAGGAGCTCATTTACTTAAATAAACTGAGCAATGAATTCGACACCAACCACTGCATGCATGTTAGAATGCTTACAATCGGTTAGGAAAGGTCGAACAAGAATTAACAACAGTTTATTAGACGTTTCGTTGGGCGATACAAAGGCTGCTAAATAAGATATTGGCATAGCTGTTATCTCACTCAGGAACATAAATGATTAGCACACTGTTGAAAGTGGGATTCGCACAGGAATAACTACAAACGGCTTTGCCAGCAAATGCAATGTACATATTAAGTGCAGGCAAATAGCACCTCGCAAAATTCACTGTTACTTCAATTCTTCAGATTATTACCTAGTTTCCTCTGCTTGTAAATGATAATTTTACCACACAATGCAAAAGTTTGTCAACAGACGTGTCGAAAGATGTGATAACTAGCTTACTGTGCCGCATTAACATTTTAGGAGGGACGTTCATCAATGTAAGCTGTCGAAGATAAACAAGAATTATGCAGGTTAGTTATGTATATCGATAACGAATTTTCGGATGAGATAACTCTGTAACTTCATCAGTGCGAATATGGGCAGAACGATAGAGACGGTTAATATCCAACCCCGATATTTGCTAAAGTTGGTAAGTGTTTTGTAATTTCTCAATAAACGGGCTTTATCCACAAGAGTGCGTGAAAAAGATGGACAAAATTTTTAGAGACTACGGCAGCCGAAATGTTGGTTTAAAAAGTAGAAATATTCTGCTATAAGAGAGGGACCATCTGTGCATTCGATCCACGTTTACTGTGACCAAACAGCTGAGCCAAAACGCCAATTCTGGAACAGTCTTTAAAGACCTCAAAATAAACTCCAAATCAAATCGTATCTTTAACTGAGATTCCGTAATACAGTCCAGTCACACGGCGAGTTTTCCAAGTCTGGAAACGATTTGAATTATTTTTTAAATGTATAGTCTGGGCCACAGGTTTTCCAAAGAAAATATTGCAAATTTATCCATGAGATTTTCACTCAGAAGCTTTGCAAGTGCATATTACCCTGGGATGTATATAAAACTTTTTAGCATTAAGGTTACGCAGCATCGATTTTATTCTACGGCAGGGTGTAAATAAATTATTGGGCTGTTTATCCAAGGCAAAACACGATGTAACTGCAAAGGCGCGATCCGAATGGAACGAGCAAGGGTGAGCAGTGAATGAACAAAGGGTTACAAGTTTCCCTGTGAGATTTAAATAAATATATGCATTTATCTGCGCATGCAGAAAAAGCTGCAGGTATAGGTATAACTGTTTGCATTTGGGTTACGAATTTATTGTTTTATCCTAGTAGGCTAAGAATTCGGATCGTACTTATGCGACAGCGAATGGCTTGGAATGACTTCCGGCGTCACAACTCGACCAATAACAAGCCTGTTAGACTAAGCGTTTAAGGCGAAACCAACAAATATCATATTAACTAAGTAATTAAATATGGGTACCAGATTTCTAAGCATGCACGCGCTCGCGCTCTAGGTAACTACGGTACTTCCAAACGCTATTTGCCTATACACCCTACCAACCACCGCATTCTTACAAACATGCATAGCGAATCTGGCCGCTTCATTGCCTAAAAGCAGCTAGAAGCGTAAAGAAATGCGCAAGCATACTTAATCACTGGTTTAACATTTTAGCAGTTAGTTCTCATTCGTTACAGAAGTATAGCTTTGCTTGGAAATGGAGTGCATCTGTGATGCATTTCCAATACGCCTTCTTCCCTGTGAAACCATTTATAACATTTTCATGAAACGAAGACCCGTGTGAGCGGACTTTGTGTTCTGTCTACCTCAAGCCTAGATAGCGCATCGTGGTAGTCAGCAGTTGATTTCTTTGTCCACCGCGGTAAATCTGAAATAATTATCAAAACATTGAAAAAGAGATTTAAATATGTTTTTCGAATTTCCTCTCGGGGTATAGTTCTCGGTGGCTTCCAAGTTAAACAATTCACTGTTTTGTTCAGTGGTTCGCAGTCAATAATGAATCGGAGCGATTGGTCAACTCAGTAGTTAAGTCGTTTTCATATGCACTAGAATGATGTAGCATAACATTGAGAATCGCCAGCCATTCGCAGTCTCCCGCTCCATCAGGATCCAAACACGTGACCGCGAGCAACCTGCGCCACTACACAACGGCGTATGCTTTGTACTGTTTCTCAGGTATGTTATGAGGCATGAAGGTTTACCACCGCCCCATATGTATTTGTGTTTTAAGATGGAGACTAGCGACGCAATTGGCAGTTTGCCATAATCTCCGACGCAGATGGAGCCACGAGTATGGTAACACGGATGAGTGTCGTTCTGTGAAAATCGCGTGCTAAGGAAATTGGGCAAATTAAGTGGCCACGGAGTCGGTGCCACTTGAAGGTGGCTAACTTATCAAAATAATTTCATAAATAAACCTACGTGCCGTTTAACTTGCAACAGGACATCTTAAATCATATATAAATTTTGCACAGAAGACGTTTAAAAAGAGAGCAACTCAACATATGCATCAGTAAACACACACGCCAATGTGTGTAGACCCACTTTGCTTTTGCCGCATGAACCATCTAATATCGTTTGTCCGTCGCATACACTATAGGGGGTATACTAAGTATTCTACATGCAGTTACAATTTAGACATCCAAAAATCCATCCAGTCGAGATTCAAGTAACAAACGCTTGTACGGTAGGCTGACCCTTTGGCGGTGGAAAGATAAGTGAACTTTTGTTATGTCAGCTGTAGCACCAGACTGAGTGGGTTTACTGGCATTTGAATATCTGCGATATTTGGAAAAAAGTCGACACGAATAATTAAATCAAGAATGTGCTACAAGAAGCCAATATCCGTTTTTGTAAAGCAGCTCTAGTAAATTGCATGCAAGCGCTGTATGGCTAGGATGAAGCACTCATAAGCTTCATCGTTGTTCGTGATTCTACACTGATCGCTCAGTACTCATCGGTATATAAAATACACATTTGTACAGCGTTTGCCTTGTACTTCCTCTACCATATCTGCAGTCTGACTTACAACCTTGAAGTTATAAGATAAAAATTCTCAAATCTTGTCAGTACCAAGAATGCTGACTGGAGATGGGATTACGCAATGAGCTATGATGTTTTCGGCCATCATCTTATTACACTAATTTGTATGTCCAGTAGGCCTTAGTCATTAACTTTACCGAACGGTTGAGCTAACTCAGTGTTTGGGCGAAGTAGCAAGTGTGGATACCCGACAAAATTGTAAACCGAATGTCCACTAAGTTTGGAATTGAGGAAATTGCAAAGCAACAGACCATTCACTCAGTGATATCCATAGATTATTATCTTCCCCATTTGCTTGAATCACAAGCCGTTTATTTTCTGAATAGCAACGATCTACCTCAAATTCGCCGACGCAGTATGTTCCGTTTTCTACTGACATGTAGGCGCAAACCGTGAGTGCAACTTAGTACTAATAGGGCCTACTCAACCAGGCAGTCAACGGTTAGTCCATGCAGGAAGTTACACTGCCTGCTGGTTAAGCAAAGCAAATTAGCATTAGTAAGCCAAGTGAAAACGTATCACCATTGCATCTTCATGCCAAACAACAAATTGCAACAGTTCACACTTTATGTAAAGCTCGCGGCGTTAGCTTGTGCCACAAATCCAAGGGCTTTAAAAAAACTGCAGTACCGAAACCAGCTGTTTATTAGTGTCTCTTCAAAGCAAGCACTACGAAGATTTCACAGGTGGGATTTCCTCGTCTGCGTTCAATAAACTTTGCTGAATCTAAGAAAGCATCCTGCGGAACCCAAAGACCGTTGGTAAACTAGTCCTCTTACTCCGGTCAAATCCATACAGTTTAAGTTGTTTGCTAGATTTAACCGCGCCGGAAATTGCCTTTTCTTTTCTATTCGGGAATTGCATCCTTTTGCTTCTTCTCCTCTGCATCATTACTTGCAATAACATCTGTCACTCTTTAAGTTTGATTCGACCTCATTATTTAAATCCGTCAAGCGCTACTGTTGAAAAGTTCATAGGTCGTAACAAATCTTGCATTCAAAACCGTTCGTTTTGTATTAACCTCCTTCCACAGCATATCCACATAGCAATAAGAGACCTGTAAGGATTACCTCAACTCTGTACCAATTATACTACGACCGTTTGTTAGATAGACTTTCGCCTGACTTATACGGGTCGAGTAATGGGAGGAATGTCGCAAACTGGCCAGTAGCGTCCTGGAGATTCCCTTGTTTGTCCGGGTTTGAGGTGTAATATTATACAAAATATAACGTTTCATCTAATACTTGCGCAACGTTGAGCGGTTGCCTGTCGGAAGTGTAACCATGTGCCTCTAACCTAACCCTTACGGATCGCACTTTGTGCGTTTCCATCATTCCGCCTGGATGAGTGTTCTGGACATCTGCGCATTAAATCATACCTCACCCACTAAGAAGAATATTTTCACAGCGCCTTCTAGCTAGAGGAACTGTACGCTTTGCAAATAAACGTAAATCGCGCCGTTACTTCTTCAGTTTTCTGGATTTTCTTTAAGACGGTAGCGAACCGGAGTTAACCGTGACTAAATGATTGCACTATAGACTGCGTTATCGGCATATTTCTTCATGAAATCTACCTGAAAATCTACTGGCCGAACCGTTTGATGTCAAATAAACGCACACATTCTACTGCTTTGTCACATAGTGTCACCGTTGCTGCAAGACGTAAAAAGAGGTAACACGCCAAATATGTCGAATATGGTTCGAATATACTAGTTGAGCATTTATCAAATGCAGCTGCTAATTTTCGATATATCCAGGATTAACTGGGCCAATGATATTAGATGCGCTGATGTAGTATCTGGAAACCTACAATTTAATAGCCCCAGATCATCTTGGCTTTCGTCCATGGCACTCGTGCATTATTATCTTTTACTTGCAATTAATAGCTGAACCGAAGAAGTTAATAATGGTGCAAAAGTGGTCGCCATCTACTTGGAATTCTCAAGACGTTTGATCTCATAGACCGCCAAATTCGTCTTAACAATCTTTAGAACTACAGCACTGGCAATCCAACCCTGCGTTGCATAACAAATTTCCTAAACAAACTTTGGTTGGATTCAAGAGAGTATGGATCTACCTCAGGTGCAGTTGACTTGGATTGCGGTATACAGCTAGGCTCGGTGCATAGGCGTCGTTTATTCTGCGTACTCAAACACGATCTAGCGAGTGCAAGTACTTGCGATTTTCTTTTTTTAGATGATATCAAGATATGGTGATTGATCACAGGACTGGACGTCCGCGAAGCGCACCAGTACGATTTTAACAATATTTTGAACTTGACAGTTCAGAAGGTCCTAATATTCAACGTAGACGAACTTTACGTTGTGCATTTACGTCATAAACGCAATTGCTAATATTTGCTTGGAGTACAAGGATTGCTGACCAGCTCCCAAGAAGGTGAACATGGTGTGCTCGTACATTTTGACCTCATCTGTTCAAAACAGGCTGAGGTAACGGCAAAAGTGGTACTCAGCACATTGGCTTGCTGTGAAGCGCAACAAGAACACACAACCCTCAACTCTGCCAAATGATTCAACCTCAATTTAAACACTCCATCCAATTTCGGCAACCTTGGTTTAAGCGTGACCCAGAGGAATTGGATGCACCACGATAAAGTGTATCGAAGAATGGAAAGGGCCTGTGCTATCACTCCTACTACGGAAATCTGAATTTGCTGTGAGTTTTCAGCGGACACTACAGAAGGCTGCGCCTCTATCTCCTACTGCGTGCTAAATATTAAGCGCTCCCAAACGTATATGCCGACATCTGCTGAAACCTAACCACAACACGCAGCTCAGGTGTAACTTGTAAAAATTCCACCAACAATATACCCATATAGGGTGTCGATGTAATGGCTATTCGCTTCATGCCTGCTAACCCGCACGCGTTACGCCAAGAATTACTGCACACGTGTATTTCTGTGGGGTTACATTCGGTTTATATTTTTCCTAAATGCTTTTTCACGACGCGTTTATCCAGATAGACGCTCGGTAGATGACACACATACATTTTGTCTTTATTGTATCCGCCTCAATTACCTGCAGGACGTGACATGAAATGGCTATAAATTTGGATAGATCACTGTTCTCTAAGCATTTTTTAAATAAAAATGAAACTGGCTTTATACGCGCATTCTAACCTTATGTTAAATCCACTTTAACCATTGAATACTCTTATGACAGCTCTAACTCAAGTTACAAGGAGCATGTAACCAGGCCGTCAAACTGCTGTCTGAATAGTTGCGATCCGCCAGGATACCCATACACAGTTCTCAGCGTTTCCCTGGCTGTATCTGTTTCGAGAAACCGCGGAATGGGAAAATACTCTATTTTTGTTCATTGGTTAATCATCTTGTTGCATGCAAATTTATATGTTCTTGCTTTTTTAGTTTTGCAGAGTTATATTCTTTCTTATTGCCTTGTTGAGCACAGCCGAATTGAACTCCTGAGGTGATGGATTGCCACTTCCAAAAAATGTTTGAAAGCTACATTAGCCACAAAGAAAAGATAGTAGAGCGTTCGAAACCAGCCGAGTAAAGTAATGGGCTAGAAAGTTTGACAACACGTGACATGTACATAAAAAGTACTGCAGCTGTAAAAATAGGTATGTGGACACGATGCGGTTAAGCCACACCGGCACGGAGCCACATGAAGCATGAAATGGCTAGTGACACTTTTCGGGAAATATGCTGCACGGAAGGATGTCTCAGAGAGACGGTTGAACAGATGGCTTTTTTTACTTGATTATTTATCATGTTTCCAGTTGTGCTTGCTCGCAGTTTATCCAAGGTTTTGCTAAAGTTAACTTCGATTTACTCTGCATTTCTCTTATACCGCGCTGATAAATGTTCATTCATCTGTTTTATGCGATCACGTCGTATCTATTTGACCGGAGCACTGAGCTAGCCTGTGCCTCGCTACTTCTAGTAATATGCGCAAATTCGATTTTCCAACACGTACCTCCTTAGCTTATGGGTTGCCGTGCAGACACAGTCGCCCAGAGTGTATTGATATTCTCCAAGTTCAAGGAGTTATACAGCTCAACGATTTTGACCTAAGGTCTTCTATTACTAATGAGTAGGAGGATTTTGAATTCAATGTTTTCGTCCCTGGAGCTTCTAAACTACATAGAACAGCCTCGCCCGGAAAAGCAATAGACATGTTTCGCCCTATTTGCGCGCAACAGTGGTGCGCATTTGCTCGGTCCTCTACTGGGGACCTAAACAATGACCCATATGGGCACATGCCATCTAGCCAACCTACTTAGGGAAAGATAAAATTTGTACATAATTTTTCATTTAGTTCCCGCTACTTATTAGATAGGAATATGCATTATGTTATATCTTTGTCAGTTTCGCACATGCACGGTGGTCAGGGTGAAGTGCGGTAGATTGTGTTGGCATATATACCCCGTTAACGGATGTTCCGTCGCTAGAAAACAGCGCATTCTGACCAGTAGTTGGGAATTGGACTTCCGTGGATGAGCTGTTACGGATTGCGTACAGCAGATTCGTCGTGCAGCCCAGGTTGCAAGATTGTAAGCGAATAGTAAGCGAAGCTCTGCGACTGAATTGCTACGGTGAGCCGAATACCAGAACGAACGAACTTAGCGAAAACAGATATATTCAGCGACACGACAGGAGCAAAAGTGTTACCTGGTACAAGTGTACCTAAACAATTAGTTTCCTTTACGACATCCGATGTGATATTTTCTTTTTGGTTTGCCATGACTATGGTGCACATCTAGATAGGAGAGGGAATAAAATAGGCACTACTAATAACGCATGGTTTAACCAAACTATTGCGATTTCACGTACGTTACAGTGGAACGTTTGACTGCATTGAAATATGGCTGCATTTTTACTGAAACGTGGTTATCTCCGGATATCACGGACGGTGAGACATGTTTGCCTGGGTACACACAGCTCAGAACTGATCGCTCCGTTGGTCGTCAACGCGGTAGTGTTGTGCTGTAGGTGAGCTGTAACTTAGAGGCGTTGATCACCTGCACATTCAAGTCATCGGATCAGACTGTTAAAGCCCTATCGGCTGTTTTATGCGCTACCTCTACACAGTTTATGTTTGTAGTAGAATACAGAAGTCCTGGAATTTATTCCAGGGGATACTTAACTTTATTCGCACTCAGTCTGCGAACAAGTGTTTAGTTCTATGGGATTTCAACCTCCCGGAAGTCTGTTGGGCTGATCTTTCTTACAATGCTGCCTCAAAAACATTCGGTGCAAACGTTCTTGAACTGACTATCCAAGTGCCTTTGCACCAGTTCTTGGACTTTCCCACTAGGCAAATGGACAACCAAATACCATCTATTTTAGATCTGGTTTTCGCTAAGCCCCTCGACTCCGTGACTGACGTTTCATACGGTGCACTTCTAGG